AATTTATTATTATTTACAATTCACACTTATGCTTAGATCTCTTCACTTAAAGCCCGATGATCAATCGCAGCGATAGTTTTACAAGACCAATCAAATTGGTTTTAATGTAGCGTGCTGTGCGAAAAGTCTCGTCTATAAAGCAGAAATGTTTGGAAAAAAAAATCTCACATCAAAGCGAAATCGTTTGAGCGCTTCTATGACAGCGAGAAGCGGGTGTCAGAGGGTAAGAGTTAGGGTGTTTCAGCTTAAGCTTCGAAAAGGTTGATAAGTTTGTGCCAAACGACAAACCTGATATCAACCGGTTGGATATTTATTTGTGCGAAATTCTTTCTTCCTCTTCCAATATAAACAGTGATTTTCTGGTGCAAAGAACGTCGTATGTTACTAAGCATCTTAAATACTTATAGGTGTGCATGAGTGTGTATATCTACACTGTAGCACTCGTATGTGCGCGTGTTTGTCATTGGGAATATAAAATACACGAATATATGTAATATTTTTATATATACGAGATCTAAGGGTTGATATACGTAAAAATAAAATGAAAATCCTGGGACGAGGATAGATAGGAACTAACCGAGACAGTCACGTAGTGTGCGTGTGTGTGTGTGTGTGTGTGTGTGTGAGAGAGAGAGAGAGAGAGAGAAAGGGGAGAGAGGAAGGAAATGAGACAGAAATATGAACAAACTCGAACCCCTGCAAACAAAGTTCGAGAAGTCTTTATGTAGACTTAACTTTTACAAGCTGGTTATATATATATATATATATATATATATATATATATATATATATATATATATATATATATATATATATATATAACGAGATCAAATATATATATATATATATATATATATATATGACCGAAATGTAACGAGATCAAATATATATATATATATATATATATATATATATATATATATATATATATATATATATATACCGAATGTAACGAGATCAAAAATAATATAAATTTTAACGTTCACATCATTAATTCAAATGAGGTTTCAATACCAAGAGTAAAAGCAATAATTATTTATTATAGATTTTTACATACGGACAAAACAGATTACTCAGGTGTTTCTCCCTATGTTTTTTTTTCCAAAAGCAATTTGAATAATGAGAAAAGGAAGTGACGTTCCATAGAAGGCTTTGCTTTATAACCAGATTTGGTTCTCACCAGACGAGATGCATGCGCATCGAAACAAAAATGCATCTTTGTCGCGATTAAGTTGTTTGTTGTCCGTATGTAAATATTATAATAAATTATATATATATATATATATATATATATATATATATATATATATATATATATAGAGAGAGAGAGAAAGAATGAGAGAGAGAGAGAGAGATGATATTAGTGGAAAATATACATACATATCTCCTTCCTCCTCATACTTACACTTTCTCTAAATTTTGTTTTTATTTCCGGAGTTGGTTTTTTTCTGTTTTCTTTTTTTTGTTTTGTAGGTCTGATGAATTGGATCGTATTTACGATTCTAATGGAGTAAATTATGACCATGGAATATTAGTGTTTAAGCCTTTTTACTATATATATATATATATATATATATATATATACAAATATATGATTGGTGTATACGGAATAAATTCCAATAACCAACAATTACTTTTCTTAAAAGAGTGCTCAATACAGAATAGAGAAGATATAATTATTTATTTCAAAATTATAACATAAATATGTTATAAAATCACTACAAAACACATTTATGTTATTATTTTTAAATAAATATATATATATATATATATATATATATATATATATATATATATATATATATATATATATATATATATATATATATATATATATATCTCACCCTATTTGCTATCTGTTTTTGTCTGTTCATATTTATTTATCAATGTCAATTCATTCAATATGTCGTTTCGTTATCTATCTCACTATCTATCTATCTATCTATCTATCTATCTATCTATCTATCTATCAGTATATTCGTATTTAGCTTATTTTGTTCATATGTGCCTATTTTAGTCTGTTTCTATCTATCTATGTCGACATATGGTAAAAAATTGTTGCTTGTTTAATATCTTTGCTAAATTCCGAATACTTGCATTGCACGAATTACACGAATGACTGTCCGAGCTGATCTTGCAACCACCTTTTTCCAGACCGAAACTTTGTAAACCACTTTTATCTCACTTGCCAATGAGACATGAATCTCTAGCCCTAAACACTACATATCTTTCAAGATACCCTCTGGCGTTATTCCCTTGCTTGAAATACCATAATATTATGTGACGTAAATACATTTTAATCCCAAATATTAATGTAGTTAACAAATTTATTATTTTATCAATTGTATGCCCTGCCAGTGCACTACTAAGACTAAGTAATGTTAGTGTATGACTCCAACTCTTACTTCTACCTCTCGAGTAGGATTTATAGTTTGGATGCTGTATTCGTCATTACAATTGCTCGTGTGTTTCTCATCTTTGCGGACAGTCACCAGACGGCGGTCAGGTGAGACCTCCCGTTCATGTCTTCCTTTTCCGACCTGTGTGTAATTAATCACAACGGACACGACACCTACACACCGCGAAGGATGGAAAATCGGAAGGCGCATTCGAATAGTAAAAGATGAACTGTTATGTAATATCGTTCCACCAGTGAACGCTCTACGGTCTTATCACAGATGAAGAAGAGACAGAAATATATTGCAACAGAAGGATGCTAAGTTCTTCCAGGGACTAAACCTGTGAGTAACGAGGGAAAATTGACAAAAAAAAATAGCGCTTTTACTCTCAATAACGAGGAAAGCGGCTTGGAGAATTTTAAAATCACGTGCTCTATCGAATTCCAGTGAGACCGGTGAAATCTCCGACCACCAACCTAATGTGTTTATGTGGATAAACGGAACAAGGAGTGAGTGGCTTTACAAAGAGTAAATTGTTGCTAAGCGCTACAAGAGATGGGATGTTGTCGATAGCCACGATCGGCCACTTCCTGAGGGCACATGACACAATGTAGAAGTCTGTTTCATTCTCTGTGCGTATGTCTGTGAGTACATGCAAGCGTATGTTTCACTATTGAGAATTCTAAACAATGTGTTGAAAAGCTAATCCAGTCACTTAGCCGAATCCTTAAAAAAAAACAACAACAAAATACACTGTGCGCAAAAACAAAGAAACCGTTGCTTAGATGCCACTGGGGCGAACAATGCGATGAATAATCCAGTGCTAAGTAGCTGCAAACGGGCGTTTACCTGAGCTCAGTTGATATGACGTTAATCCCCAAAAGCTATTCACTGGTGTGTGCCATACACTTGTAGCCTCGTGCCGTACAAAGCTAAGCTGGGTAAATAGCATTGGGAATCTGGTATTATAAGCTTTGGTAAGTGGAAAAAAATTAAAAATTCGATAAAACCAACAGTTATGTTGCTATATGATGGGGAGATAAGGTCTCAAATGCTCACTCAGTGTCAAATGGAGGGGATGAAATAAGGTCAATCATTTTTTTTTTCTGATTACAATCCATCTCTACACAGCTTCCTTTTACTTTATTAGCTGTGAATTGCTATGGCGACCTGGGAAAGATAGTGGGAGGGTTTCTCCCCGCCTTCTAGACGGTTTTTAATTCAGAGTAGTCCATCTCACAGACTTGCTATCGCACAAGACGAGATCACAGTTTACCTTGAACAATTTACGTTTGTTAAATGCCATTTGCATTTAGTTATGTAGGCGGTCATGGGTCTCCACAGTTTTCTTTTTTGTTAAATGTGAATTGGCATGAATTCTTAAGAAAAGTGAAGGGTTTCTTCCATGTTGTCTTCTTCGCCGTTTTTGCATTCATTAATGTCCTTGTTGGATAGACGCTCGGATTGAGAAATCGGAGAGCCGAGTTCGAATTCCACTACCTGCTAATACCCATGGGAAAGGTATGAATGCCCTTCTTCTACCCCACCCAGCTATGGGTAAATAGCAGGACAGACCGGGTTGCCTTGGATAGCAACTGGTCTACCGTAGAAAGAAATGGCAGCCTACTGCGGGGAAAAATCTGCTTCGTCAGTCATGTATCTTTCGATACATGATCGCCTAAGCGTGTATCATACATGGCACATAAATGACTGAATGTCCTTATGAACTGGCTGACAGTCAAGGCTAGAGTGCTCAGACTACCTTGCTATTTAAACAATACCTAGAGAGAGAGAGAGAGAAAGTCGTGTTTTTCCAAAAACATTTGTGCAAAAGTCAATGCACCAGATTGAGACTTGCTCACACATATTATTCAGAATTCCCTTTTTTAAAATTAAACGTCAAAATGTATCTATAAAACCGATTTAGTTTGTTTGTTTTGTTTTACGGCATTTCAACCTTAATGCTTATAAAATTTTTATTGCTGGTAATATTTTTTTTCCAAAAAACTATTGCTGGTAATATGTTTTTCTTCAAAAATCTATTTCTGGGAATATTTTTCCTTCAAAAAATGTATAGCTGGTAATATTTTTTCCAAAAATGTATAGCTGTTTGTATTGCTGGTAATTTTTTTAAAGTATTGCTGATAATAATTTTTCCTTCAAAAAATTAATGCTGGTAATAATTTTTTACAAAGTATTTTTTGGTATTAAAACCTATTTTTACACTTTCATAGTATTTTGACCCAAGTTTGGGTGTTAACTATTTACCTATAGCTGGGACCATAACAGCTGCTACTACCCCGGGTCAGGGTGGACCTGGGAACACCAGCAATTAAGAGGTGGTTCCACGCTCCTCAAAACCTCCTGATCAGAGGACGTGCTCTTGGATGTAGTTTATCGTCTTATCCAGGACGCGGATATAGTTTATCGTCATACCCAGGACGGCTATAAAACCGAAGGAAAAATTGTGAAGTTACATTATTGCTAGACAAAAACCCATTTCAAACTGGCTGTACCTTTGTGTATATACAGTAAGCAAAGAACTGTAACAGAATGCATGTTTTGGGAAGTAAAAATGGCTACTAATATTCATAGGAGGCTTACGGTTACATCACGCTGAAACACCGATTCTTGTACGATCACCGAAGTTAAGCAACGTCGAGCCTGGTCAAAACCTGGATGGGCGATTACTTGGGAATACCACGGGCTGTAAGCTTTGATGTAGGTGTAGTGTAATGAATAATGGTTCGGAATTGTTAATCGCAGAACCTAATTCCAATTCCTATTAAGTTCGTTATATTCACTTACGCTCTAATATCCTTGGGAAAGGTATAAATCCATCTCGTCTCCCCTAGCAATGGGTTAATTAGTAAGACGTGTATCACGAAACCATTATTATCTGAAAAAGAAAATCTTGCAATCTAAGGAGGCTTAAAGTTAGATCACGTTGAAATACCGTTTCCGGCCAGATCACCGAAGTTAAGCAACGTCAAGTCTGGTCAACACCTCGATGGGTGATTGATTGGGAATACTACGTGCTGTAAGCTTTGATGTAGGTATTCTTGGTGCTAATTTTGGAAAACTGGTCAGGCTAAAAAATTTTCCCTACCGTTTCAACAAAAAGATTTCTTTCGGCTTTTTGGCATCTCAGAGTAAACCTTTCAGATGTGACCTGTATCCTGTGTTCCTTCAGGATATGGGTTATCATAGATCTCCGCAATTTTCTCTCCATGATAGCTTTTTACCATCCAGTTTGGCCTCACTGGCTTACGGCCATATTACGTTGAAACATCACTTCCCATACGATCACCAAAGTTAAGCAATATCGAGCCTACCCCAGCATAAATGGGTGGCTGCTTGGGAATATCTGTTGCTGTAATGTTGGATGAGCAACTGATGTCATGGATCATTAATAATGGCTTGGAATTGTTAATCAGAGAGACGAGTTCCAATTGCTTTTAAGTTAGTTATATTTATTTATACGCAAATTCCTTTGGGAAACGTATGAATCCACCTATTCTCCCGCCAGATATGAGTTAATTAGTAAGACTTGTATCACTAAATGATAAAATAAAATTGCATAGAAAATATTTAGATTTTGGATTTAAATAACCCATAGGGGTGTTGATATGTCGCTAAACGAAACCAACCAACCAACCAACTCATCAAACAATGTAACAATTCGAGTTGCCAACCATCCATCGTGTAATTATTATCTCTAAAAAATTCTAGAATCCAAAAATATTTTCTGGCTTTAAATAACCTGCAAAGGGTTGATAAACCGTAGAAAATGAATCAATCTAACAATAAAAACACACATACAGAGAGAGAGAGAGAGAGAGAGAGAGAGAGAGAGAGAGACTAAAGGCTTACAGAATCCACCTCTTCTTCTCCAGTTATTATCTAAAAAAGAAATTTCTAGAATCCAAAAATATTTTCTGGCTTTAAATAACCTGCAAAGGGTTGATAAACCGTAGAAAACGAATCAGTCAACAATAATATTCACAGTGGGCTAGTTAATTTTGATAGAATGTTTGCTCTTCATCTAAGTAATATAAGTAGATGTGTCAGAAGAGATACCCATCAACATTTTGATCATGAATGTTCGAACACTTTGATTAATAGTAACCATTCGGAGAGCTGAATTCCAATTCACTTTGAGTTCGTTATATTGATTAGCCGTCGAAAAGGAATCAATCACTCTATCTATTAACCAGTGAATTACTTTCAAAGGAAGATAGTGATATTGAAAAACGCATATGTGTTGCGTAAAGTAACTTATTAAATTATTAGCCCGCGAAATTATTGATATACATCTCTTAAGGCCAACATTTCACAAAACGGACAAGGAGAAGCATTCCCTGTAATGGCTACAGGAATGTTGGATCAGTCTTCTGAAGATTTTCAATTTGTGACATCTCAAAAGTTGTAATGCCATTTATGGACACACAGCTACACTTGACATCTTCAGGAGCTGCTTCAGCAAAGGATGACAGATTGGGTGTCAATAAAATGCAGGTTTTGCTTAAGTTTATCCTTCTTACTCAACGGGCGTCTTCCAACTTTCTGAGAAAGTTGGCTGCATATGAAGATTTCCGTGCTGCTTTCACCCCCTCATTCATACCGCTTAACCAACCCAGTGAAGATGCAATCGTATTAGAAATGGCTCTGTGCCTCCAATGTCATAATTTGAGAACAGATTAATATTACATTATTTTGTCTATCAGATTGTATGACCGTCTTGGGTATGACGATAAACTACATCCGGCAGCAATGCCACTGATTTGAGTTGTTTTAAGGAGCGTAAAATCACCTCTTAATTTCTGTTGTTTCCAGGTCTACCCTATATATGAGGTAGCTTCCTATAGCGTTACGACAGCTGCCTGTCTGCCTTAGGTGGGAAGTGATCCCTGTTCTTGATTAGAACGAGTGGATAAGACAGCAGGAACACCGTAAAGCCGTAACATGAAGAGAAATATGAGAAATCAGGCATAGCTAAGCATATATGGAGGGAAAAGAAAGATCAACACCGTCTATGGGATGAGGTTGAAATAATAGACAGAGAACATCACTGGAAAATACGAAAGCTTAAGGAATTAGCGCATATGTGAAAGCGTGTTTTTAAAAGTTCTCTGTGGCTGAACGGTTATAGCACGCCATGCTTAATGGTGGTTCCGCATAGGATGCAGGTTCGATTCCTGTCGGAGAACGCATATTTTCTACAAAATTTGTCGAACATTCAGGCCAGTAAATGTAATTTATACTGTTTAATTAAAGATAAGAGCATTTACTTAAATATGTGTATCCATAAAAAATAACGTATGAACAGAAAATATATTAAATATTTGTCGGATTTAATTTATTTTCCTATATGTTGTCATTGTTTACGTTAGGATACGAAATCAGAGCAGATAAAATAGATCGAGAAAGATGGGAAAAAGTGTGGGTTTAAAACAATAATTCGACCTTAATTAAAGAACAGAACATTTACTTAAATAAGTGTGTCCATAAAAAAGAACATATAAACAGAAAATATATTTATTGTATAATCGTAGTTTTTTAAAAGTCAGGGGCTTCACTTTTATAGTTGAGAGTGCAAGTGTTAGTTTTTTATGTAGGGTGTTAGTAAATGAATTATTATTGGTGTCTATCAATATATCAAGAAAAGGAATTCTATGACCATGATTTAGCAAATTCTACATGGCTAACCTTGAAAATAAGATATTAAATACCACTAAAAAAGCCTCAATCTACCTAAGATATGTAGATAATATTCTCATCTTAGTTAAAAATATAGACGAATTACATAAATTACAACAAAATCTTCCCAAATATTCACTGTTCACATACAAACTTAGCAATAAAAACAGAATTCCTTTTCTTGATGTATTTATAGACACCAATAATCTATCTGTCTACATCGCCATATAAAAATGTAACTAGCATAAACACGTGCACTCTCGACTATAAAAGCGAATGTCCTGACAAAACAGCGATTATACAAAATTTAATGAACCGTGCAAAAGATAATTGCACGAAAAATATGTTCCGCTTTATCACAGCCCATCAGTGTGACTAGACAGCCGATTGCTTCAAGCCGTGACTGAAACCTGACCGATTTTGCATGAGTCAGAGATTCTACCGCCGTGAGCGGAAGAGAAATTTTAACGTTTTTACTATGCGAAAGACGTCAGTAGCTAGGAGAGCTCGATTCGAGTAGAAGAGCATTGCATAAGTAGCAGCAGCCATTATTTACAAAATCACCCCTTCTTCTCTGCGAGCTCAATCGAATTATTTTTAGAGCATAGTCATCCACGCACACACACACGCACGCACAGCGCAGGCACACACACACACACACACACACACACACACACACACACACACACACATATATATATATATATATATATATATATATATATATATATATATATATATAAACAGGATGGTTGCAAAAATTGACATGGTTCGTCCATTAAATTTTTTATTGTATTTTTCCAAATTTCGGATAAGTTGTTGAATATTGTGATCGAAGTTGTGGGTAAACTGTCCGACATTGATATTTTGTCATTTCGACTTTCAAAGACATTATCAACAACTGACGCGGGGTATGTGTGGTAGTTAAACTTCCATTGTCTATATCCTGGTTTTCTTTAGGAAGATGGGCGTTTGATATGGTCTAGCATGACGGCTATTGGGAACGACGCTGCAAAAAAGGATTGAGATTTATTTATTTATTAATTTAAGTTTTTATTTTTATTTTGTTTAAATTTTACTTTTTTATTATTATGATAAAATATGTGCGCACATTAATTATATTATATGCACTTCTCCTGTGATAAATAATATTTTATTTAATGTGCGCAGTTTATATATATATATATATATATATATATATATATATATATAGAGAGAGAGAGAGAGAGAGAGAATAGATAGATAGATAGATAGATAGATAGATAGATAGATAGATAGACATGATCAAATGTGAAACGTGAAATGAAGGAAAACGAATAATTTCAAGACGAGCAAGTTCGGAAGTGTATTGTTGGCAAATTCGATAAAAATATAATATAATATAATATAATATATATATATATATATATATATATATATATATATATATATATATATATATATATATTTATATATAAACTATGTTTACTCGCACGATGGAAAATGTGTAAATTGAGGAAGCGCGGGTAACGATGTTGTGTAAAGCAGAAAGCGTTTTATCAAGGGAGATAATCTTGATAATTTTTGTTTTGTCATTTTAGGTGATATATGCAGTATCCTCAGTTAGGGGATAAGAAATAGCACTTGAATTGAATTAGTTACAGATTAGAATATCTAACAATCTCCTCCTCCTTTCTCTCTCTCTCTCTCTCTCTCGATACATATATATATATATATATATATATATATATATATATATATATATATATATGCATAATAAGAAAAAAGGATAGGTAGATCCAAAAGAGTATCCCTAAGTGTGCTCAATGCCATAAAATGGTAGAGCTTTAATATACTTTAAGTCAAATCTCAGGTGGGCAGGTGTCCGACCGCCTGATGACTGCCCACCTGAGATTTGACATAAACTATATATATATATATATATATATATATATATATATATATATATATATATATATATATATATATATATAGAGAGAGAGAGAGAGAGAGAGGGAGGAGAGATTGTTAGATA